CCCCCTGCACTTCTCCTCCATTACTCCCCTCTGCTTCCCCTGCACTCCTCCTCCTCCACTCCCCTCTGCACCCCCTGCACTTCTCCTCCATTACTCCCCTCTGCTTCCCCTGCACTCCTCCTCCTCCACTCCCCTCTGCACCCCCTGCACTTCTCCTCCATTACTCCCCTCTGCTTCCCCTGCACTCCTCCTCCTCCACTCCCCTCTGCACCCCCTGCACTTCTCCTCCATTACTCCCCTCTGCTTCCCCTGCACTCCTCCTCCTCCACTCCCCTCTGCACCCCCTGCACTTCTCCTCCATTACTCCCCTCTGCTTCCCCTGCACTCCTCCTCCTCCACTCCCCTCTGCACCCCCTGCACTTCTCCTCCATTACTCCCCTCTGCTTCCCCTGCACTCCTCCTCCTCCACTCCCCTCTGCACCCCCTGCACTTCTCCTCCATTACTCCCCTCTGCTTCCCCTGCACTCCTCCTCCTCCACTCCCCTCTGCACCCCCTGCACTTCTCCTCCATTACTCCCCTCTGCTTCCCCTGCACTCCTCCTCCTCCACTCCCCTCTGCACCCCCTGCACTTCTCCTCCATTACTCCCCTCTGCTTCCCCTGCACTCCTCCTCCTCCACTCCCCTCTGCACCCCCTGCACTTCTCCTCCATTACTCCCCTCTGCTTCCCCTGCACTCCTCCTCCTCCACTCCCCTCTGCACCCCCTGCACTTCTCCTCCATTACTCCCCTCTGCTTCCCCTGCACTCCTCCTCCTCCACTCCCCTCTGCACCCCCTGCACTTCTCCTCCATTACTCCCCTCTGCTTCCCCTGCACTCCTCCTCCTCCACTCCCCTCTGCACCCCCTGCACTTCTCCTCCATTACTCCCCTCTGCTTCCCCTGCACTCCTCCTCCTCCACTCCCCTCTGCACCCCCTGCACTTCTCCTCCATTACTCCCCTCTGCTTCCCCTGCACTCCTCCTCCTCCACTCCCCTCTGCACCCCCTGCACTTCTCCTCCATTACTCCCCTCTGCTTCCCCTGCACTCCTCCTCCTCCACTCCCCTCTGCACCCCCTGCACTTCTCCTCCATTACTCCCCTCTGCTTCCCCTGCACTCCTCCTCCTCCACTCCCCTCTGCACCCCCTGCACTTCTCCTCCATTACTCCCCTCTGCTTCCCCTGCACTCCTCCTCCTCCACTCCCCTCTGCACCCCCTGCACTTCTCCTCCATTACTCCCCTCTGCTTCCCCTGCACTCCTCCTCCTCCACTCCCCTCTGCACCCCCTGCACTTCTCCTCCATTACTCCCCTCTGCTTCCCCTGCACTCCTCCTCCTCCACTCCCCTCTGCACCCCCTGCACTTCTCCTCCATTACTCCCCTCTGCTTCCCCTGCACTCCTCCTCCTCCACTCCCCTCTGCACCCCCTGCACTTCTCCTCCATTACTCCCCTCTGCTTCCCCTGCACTCCTCCTCCTCCACTCCCCTCTGCACCCCCTGCACTTCTCCTCCATTACTCCCCTCTGCTTCCCCTGCACTCCTCCTCCTCCACTCCCCTCTGCACCCCCTGCACTTCTCCTCCATTACTCCCCTCTGCTTCCCCTGCACTCCTCCTCCTCCACTCCCCTCTGCACCCCCTGCACTTCTCCTCCATTACTCCCCTCTGCTTCCCCTGCACTCCTCCTCCTCCACTCCCCTCTGCACCCCCTGCACTTCTCCTCCATTACTCCCCTCTGCTTCCCCTGCACTCCTCCTCCTCCACTCCCCTCTGCACCCCCTGCACTTCTCCTCCATTACTCCCCTCTGCTTCCCCTGCACTCCTCCTCCTCCACTCCCCTCTGCACCCCCTGCACTTCTCCTCCATTACTCCCCTCTGCTTCCCCTGCACTCCTCCTCCTCCACTCCCCTCTGCACCCCCTGCACTTCTCCTCCATTACTCCCCTCTGCTTCCCCTGCACTCCTCCTCCTCCACTCCCCTCTGCACCCCCTGCACTTCTCCTCCATTACTCCCCTCTGCTTCCCCTGCACTCCTCCTCCTCCACTCCCCTCTGCACCCCCTGCACTTCTCCTCCATTACTCCCCTCTGCTTCCCCTGCACTCCTCCTCCTCCACTCCCCTCTGCACCCCCTGCACTTCTCCTCCATTACTCCCCTCTGCTTCCCCTGCACTCCTCCTCCTCCACTCCCCTCTGCACCCCCTGCACTTCTCCTCCATTACTCCCCTCTGCTTCCCCTGCACTCCTCCTCCTCCACTCCCCTCTGCACCCCCTGCACTTCTCCTCCATTACTCCCCTCTGCTTCCCCTGCACTCCTCCTCCTCCACTCCCCTCTGCACCCCCTGCACTTCTCCTCCATTACTCCCCTCTGCTTCCCCTGCACTCCTCCTCCTCCACTCCCCTCTGCACCCCCTGCACTTCTCCTCCATTACTCCCCTCTGCTTCCCCTGCACTCCTCCTCCTCCACTCCCCTCTGCACCCCCTGCACTTCTCCTCCATTACTCCCCTCTGCTTCCCCTGCACTCCTCCTCCTCCACTCCCCTCTGCACCCCCTGCACTTCTCCTCCATTACTCCCCTCTGCTTCCCCTGCACTCCTCCTCCTCCACTCCCCTCTGCACCCCCTGCACTTCTCCTCCATTACTCCCCTCTGCTTCCCCTGCACTCCTCCTCCTCCACTCCCCTCTGCACCCCCTGCACTTCTCCTCCATTACTCCCCTCTGCTTCCCCTGCACTCCTCCTCCTCCACTCCCCTCTGCACCCCCTGCACTTCTCCTCCATTACTCCCCTCTGCTTCCCCTGCACTCCTCCTCCACTCACCTTTGCTTCCCCTGTACTCCTCCTCCTCCACTCACCTCTGCTTCCCTTGCACACCTCCTCCACTCACCTCTGCACTCCTCCTCCATCACTCACCTCTGCACCCTCTGCACTCCTCCTCCACCACTCACCTCTGCTTCCCCTGCACTCATCCTCCACCACTCACCTCTGCTTCCACTGCACTCCTCCTCCACCACTCACCTCTGCTTCCCCTGCACTCCTCCACTCACCTCTGCTTCCCCTGTACTCCTCCTCCTCTACTAACCTCTGCTTTCTTTGCACTCCTCCTCCATCACTCACGTTTTAAAAGCCTGTACAGGTCATCAATTTAGAGATATCCGTGAATATTGTCCTTAGTACTATTGCTCTAACCTTGGCACATACGGCGATACCCAACATGTGTAGTGCGATTGTTGTTTTTGTATGTAGGCGCACCAGACGTGTATTTATGATAAGACGCGCTT